ATGTGAATTATGTAAGCTTGAACTTAAAATAAATATGAACATGAAATAAAAATCTAAGGAAGAAGCTAATTCTATCAAAAAGTTATTGGAAACCCTTGCTTGTGCTGAATAGTTATAACAGTGTGTGTGTGTGTGTGTGTATGTGTCACAAACAGAGAAATATTATTACAGGGGGTTAAGGCTATTTAGCACAGTCGAATGTAAATCACAGGTTTAGACACAGTCACTGTGCATATAGGAGGACGAAGGCATAGAGCCATGCATGAAATTACTTCATTAATCTTCCTCTGATAGGCCGTCCTTGTTTAGGGGGGGAAACTCTACCTGCTTAAGACAAAGACCCAATCTCTCCACACCCCCAAATAAATTACTCTCTGCAGAAGAAGATATAAACATAAAAAGACAAACTAGTTCAAGCGCGCACACATACACACACACACACAAATAAATTGTTCAATATTAGTGGGCCAAAAAGCTGCAGGCTTATCAGGTGAAGATTTAAACTCAATCAGATGTGTCAATGTTTGCAAAGGCTCACAGACACTGCGTAATCGCGGCTCACGGGAACCATTAAAATAATGATATAACATGTTAATCCAGTTGGAAACGCAACTTCATTTCTGCCATTAAGGACGCATTCTGAAGCGCACATTTCAAACGACGCCGCGGAGCACTGATGTTACTAAAGAAACTCCATTGTTATGACTGTCACACGCTACAGCGGTCGACACTGTCACAGCAATAGCCTCCAGCTTTTTTACAGGCTCATCGCTACCAGCTGCCACACATTCTCTATAAATAGTGCTGGTAATAAAAAAAATTTAAAAAAAAGCGGGTGGGCCTAACTGATTTATACGCATGTATCCACCACAACACCATTCAGGAATAATTAAACTTTGGGGAGATTTTCTGAATTAATGCGTTGCCTTTTGGAGGGGGGAGGTGAAATCTAACCGCATGTCGCAGCTTCAACAGTCAGTCACTCAGTGTCACCATTTGAGTCTACTTAGTGGTGTAGGCGAGGTATCAAAACCTATCGCGCTGCTCATTTCTTTCTGTCTTGAAGTCTGAGGGGAAAAATAAAATTTTGAAAGGCTCCAATTTATTTAATGAATAAAACGAATAAAAGAAAATGTACAACATGCTTTGTAAAGATGTCGTAGTTTTGAACGCAACACAAAAGTAAGGAATTCAAATTATAGAAAGTATTGCTTCAAATCGTGAACTGAAATTTGGTACTGTTTTCAAAAACCTCAAAAAGGTGAATCTAAATAGAGTTTTACTGTCCAAAATCAGAGTATTTTGATATATGACTGATTAATTGCTGCATACTGAAAAGTGCATTTTAGTGAAGAGAGCACACACACACACACACACACACACCTACACATCATTGTATGATCATAATATACACGATCATAATATATTTGATAAAGGCAGGCCACATTACACAAAGCAACAACACACGTTCAGAAAGGTGCACAACATGTCAAAAAAGTCACAGTAAAGCCATAAGATTTTTTATTAAAATTATGATATAATCAAATAAAATCAGTGAAATTATGTTAAAAATTATAATTCAGTCATAATAATCAAATTTAAACTTCAGCATGGCAGAGTAGCAGCTGGTGAGTTTTGGAGCTGTGTTTTAAAATAATGATGAGCGTCTATGAGCAACAGTACACCCGCAAAGTGGATGTGAAAACATTAGCCAAAACAACTGGCTTGTTACTGGTATGAAGGTAAGTTTTAAAGTTATTTTCAGTTCAATAGTTTAAAGGCTTTTCAATACAAAGAGAGAATTTTCTCCCTTAAAGTAGCAGTTGCTGACCCTCCCCCACTTGTTGCTACACAGGGTTCATGAACTGGCTGCAAGAACATTATTATACCAAGGTTTGAAAAATGAGTTTTAACACTATAAATATTTTCTTTTTTAACCTTCCTTAGTTTTCAAGTCCTTTTCGAATCGATGTAGTTTTTGCCGTCTGTATGGAGCGTTGAGTAATTTACTGCTGCTGCACAGTGCAAGTCCACTGGCTAAAAGTATAAGTGTGGTGTTATCTGTTCTAAAGCACCACTACTCAAAATTAAAAACTAATTGAAAACTAGGCAGATTACCGACATCAGCATACACTCAAATATTTTCAAATTTCAAAACATTTTCCTTCTAACTATCCGTTTCAAAGCCATTTTTAAAATGATGTAAGAAAAAAGGCTAGAGTCAGGGTTCAGATAGTGCTGTGTGAAACAACACTGCCCCTCCTCCATCTGTTGCTGCACACTGTCAGTCAGCTTGCTGAAAGAAAGCTACTGCACTTTTTCTCACTTTTTCTTGTAAACACCTACAGTCATGTTGTTGAAACCTAAGGAGTGATGATTCTCATTAAGCTAATGTCATTTTTAAAACTAAGGCATGAACTGACCCTGGATGCATTGTGAAAGTGGCATTTTTAATCACTTTTATAGTGTGTGAATTGGCCGACATCTTGAACAAACTTTGGATTTAAAATACGAGTGATAAGAATCCATTTGCACACTTTGAGTTGTAACTACCTTACTACCTTCTAATACAGACATTGAAATAACGGCGCAGTAGCTGCAGCGTTTATTGCTGAGGGGACCTGGTGAAGCTGTCAGTGAGAATCAGAGCTTCTACTGTGATGGACGGTTTCAATATTGATTTCATAAATAAACAAAGCTAACCATCGATCCTAATGTTATTTTGCATTTCAATTACTGCTTTGAAACATAACCTTCAAACAACTGACTGCTCAATACCAATGGCCTCCGCTGATAAACACCCATGCAGTTACTCCACATTACATCACATTTTCTACAGGAACTGCAGAGACAAACACTCTATAAAAGATTTCGGTCTTTACAAGTAATGCAAACTTTACTTATGCAACACCAAAACACTACATTTGTCACTTATTTTTTCTTTTCAGCTTCCGTTCTGCTGTTTGCGCGTTTGAATACTTGCACATATGCATGTGTGAGTGACTAAAGAGGAGCCCTTGAGCGTCAGAGCAACAGGAAGAAGTGCTGACGCAACGTGTCAGTGATAGCACTTTGCTGCCACAAGGGCATGAGAGCCCACATAGGCTAGCATTATCCTTTCTAGACTAATGGACCTGGTTATTTTTAAACAGATTCTCACACTGCGGTGGAGGTGTCCAAGGTTACCATGGGCGAGAAATCCGGAGGGGGCGCGTTCAGCAGAGGCTGTTTGTTTCCATGCAGGTGGGTGTTGTGAAATAATCAAAGAAGGAAGGCAGGTAATCGCCAAGAGGTGGAAAGGGCAAATTTAAGATCTGAGGAGGCGGCATGTTATGACAACACTGAGATAATTGTAAAATGAAAGGCAGTTAAAAAGAAAAAACTGCCCAGATTTATGCCGCATTTGTTAAAGCAACCACTCGACATGACAAGGGGAAAACCTTCTACCATCATGTTAGCATGAACTTTGACACTTCTGAGGCTACAGAAAAGTTGCCATCAACAAACTGCCAAGACACTATTTTTGTTTTATCCTGAGTTTGGAGTATTTTTTACAGCAAGAATAGGTAATACATCTATCTATGTATCTTTCTGTTCCTGACTTCAGTGCTGCTCAGAGCATGGAGAAACACACTACAGTCCCTCCCCCACTTGTTGCTTCACACTGTTGGTTAGCTGGTCGAAAGAGGGCTACTAGTATTTCCACTGAGTAAAAGACGGACAATTTCATCAGTTTGGAAATGTTATTGACATCACTCTTAAAAGGGTAAAATTGTTTTAAAAGCTACAAGCGAGATACGTATCAAGATGCAGACTACCTCACCAGATTGCCCAACTAGTTAGCAAATAACTAGCTACTCGCTTTTTATGAGGAACAGAATTACAAAAAGTTCAAATGCATCATATTCTGCATTTGAAAGTACAACTAAATTTTGAAATTTTGTGATTGTTTATGGCATACATTTTTATTTTCTGTGTAAACACTCAAGATATAAACACTGTTGTAATACTACTCAGGGTTTTTCTGTGACCCTCATGTCAGTCCATAAATAGCTACAATCACTTTTATGTGTTCTGGAAGGTTTTTATCTTGTAATCAAGAGTGGTTTTATGCTTTTATATAGTTGTTTGGCAACTAAAACAAAGTGAACTATTCCTTAGATACTTCTAGAATCTAAAATGGAAGTGAATCTTAAAAAGCAGATGGGCTTGTAGTTAAGAACATACCTAAAAAATGTGTGGTTAATTAATAGCAGTGTAGGCTGTTTCTTTAAGTGTTGAAAGAAGCAGTCATTCACAACTTAAGAAGTTAGTTTTTTTGTAAGTAGTCAAAATGTACTTTTAACGCTTTTTAACATTAAGCAACCTGTGAGCACCATATAAGTTAAGCAGCGCACACTGATAACCTGACTAATTAACCACCTAATTCAAGCTGCATGGACCACAGAAAAAGCCACACTCCTCCTAACCCACCTGTTGCTGCACACTGCCAGTCAGCTGCAAACAGCAAAGATAAATTCAGCTGTTTGAAAATAATTATATTGCTGATGTGGGAACTAAATATGCCTCATCTCTTCACTTATAAAGGTAATGTTATTAAAAACTATAGCATGTTCACTACAAGTGGCATGTCATCTAAGCAGCTGACTGCTGACTCCTCCACCAGTGGGCCGACTAATTAAGCCAATATGAACTCATTATTCTTGTGTTGCTCTTTGAAGAGCACATCTACTTAAAAATGTTCAATGCTTTTCTTCAAAAGTCTAGGTATGAAAACCAAATTTACAATTAAAAATTATACATTCCTTTATTTTAATAATACTGGTCAATACGTTAGATATTTTAGAAGCAGTCAGAATGTTTGTTTTTTGTTTTTTTAAAAAATAATTAGACCCCCTTAATTGTGGTCATTTTTCGTAATTTGACTCTATGTTATCATACGCTGAGGATCTCTTCCCGGCCCATTCCTATTTTACAGTAAGAGTAATGATACTAGATACCAGAAATGAGAGGTCTCCAGCGTGGCCATGGGACTCAGGAATCTCTCTAATGATTTGGACAACAAAGCCCTGTTGATACAAGGAAGAAGTATTTAGAATTGGACAACAATCTCAAATTGAAGCACAAAAGAAACATCTGAAATCGTCCTAAAAGCTGAGGGACGTTAAAGCGACAGGTGGCCACAGAGGCCAGTAGCTCCTGGATCGCTGTAGGGTGGCCATCCTCATCCAGGAGGCTTTTCTGGTAATGTATTCTGAAACCAAATTACCGTAAGCTGATCCCATCTGGATAGTGTCTGAGCGCGGCTGCTTTGGTTACTCACCACTGCCTCTAACCTGCGATAGCATCTCCATGAAGACAGCAAAAATCTGATTAACCCAATAACAATGAAACACTTGGTCAAAGAGCAAGGAGCTTTTAACTTAAGATACACTAATGCAATTCCCTCGCCTTGTTTTCTGAAACCTAATAAGAATCAAGCGGACGGACCGCCAGAGATGGCTGTTTGCAGGCTCTAATGCAGCAAGCTGGGAATGAAGTCAAATAAATTGAAATCTAATTCATCACTGCGCACTAACTTCTTTCTGCCTCTCTAAAAATACATTAAAAAGCTCTTATTTCAAGACGGGAAATTGGATAGCCTTGTTAGTTTATTGCAGTGGCTGTGCCAAGAATAAAGGAAAGCATGGGTGCTGAAAGATGTTTAGGAATGAAAGAAGTAAAATCCCAATTCACTGCTGCTCAATTCTTGTTTTGTTTTTTTGTTGTTGTTTTTTTTTTTTTTTGAGAAAGCAGCAAAGAATTTACACTCGCAGCCATGACGGATTTCTGACCAGTGTGAACAACCGCTGCAAGGAGACGGTCACACTCACATGCTCAAAGAATAAAGGGAGATATTTACTTTTAACTTAACAGAAACAGTAGCACTAAAAAGAATATTAAATTACTATGGAAAGTACACTCAATTGTAACTATAAACCTGTAATATATGAATGTTTTGTGAAATTTCTATTACAGGCTTTGTACAATTTCATATTAGTGTGTTAGAGAAAAACTTTACTTCAGTCTGATGCCCAGAAAGTGGCGACACCCTCGAGACAATCTAAAGTGTTTTACAGAGATTCCACCACAGTAATGTGCAAATTGCAAGGCGCGAAAACCTCCAATAGAGATCATTCACCCCAAGCATCACTTCTACATTCAGCCCTCAGCGCGAGTTTGAAAACACCAGGGAAAATGAGACACTGCTGAAACAAAATTTGCGTCCAGAGTTGGAGAGGTTTCCCCAGATCAGCTGCTCCACAGTGGACAAGTCGTCAGGTCAGGGGTAATAATTTCCATATGAAACGAGAGGCGTCTTTTCTCATGAAGCGGTGTGAACAATAAGTCTAATATTCCAACTTGGCTTCAAAAAAATTTGTTCTTAGAGGGCTTATGTATTATCAAACTTTAATACCAAATTATAAATTTATAATGTGCATGCTTTATTAAATGAAGCCTTCTTCAATGCTAAAGGGATCACCATAAAAACTGTTTATAATGTTCATAATTTTCTACAATTTCCCCTTATTTGTGGCACATTTATAAACCTAAAAGAAATTTGTTCCATTTTACGAGTAAAAACTGCCTTATAAAATCTGATAGGTTTTCTACGCAGATAGTTTTTCTTATTAATTTAACGTCATTCATAATTTTATAAGTTAATGAGCCAACGTTTAACTAAAATTATTTTTTTTTATTCAAAATTAAATACTGATTCTGAGAAAAAGAATTCAACACAACTGCAAACAACATATGTTTTACAGCTTTATGTTTCTGTAATATCAAAGAATACTCATTAAATATTAGTTGAAAACTACATTTAATGAGAAGTTTTGTGGGGGGAACTATTAAAATAAAAAAACAAACCTTGGGAAAAATAGCTCATTTAGTTGTAATTTTAGAAGATTATGTTAAAAGGTAAAATGTGCTGTAACAAACATTAGAAAGCGAAAAGCATTTAAATTTATAAAACGTTTAAGAAATGTTGTGATTTATGTTTAGGTGATGTTACATAAAAAAAAAAACATAAAGGAGATTTATGGAGAAATCTGATGCATTTGCACAGGCGTAGAAGGTAAAATAAACACACAAAATCGGTTTCACTGATATGCAACAAAATTATACATTTTCATTAAATACAGACTTTAGAAATTACTATGTAATTAAAAGCTATGATAAAAACCTCCCAATAATAACACTGAGAAAAGTAAAATCTCTAAACATTTCTGGTGAGTCTCATAAGTTGCACAAACAAGTAGTTTATCTTTAAGTGTAATAAAAACCAAAAGGTTGCAAAAACCAGATTTTTTCTAGCTTAGCTAAATAATTTTGGTAACTTTCTCTTCAAATAGATTAATATTTTTCACACCAAAAAGCAGTTTATTTTGTCTGAAGTCTAAAGTGTGATTTACTGGTGGGCTGATGAAGTTAGAAAACCAGCGTGTCCCAGTAGCAGCCAGGAGCTGTGGGGAGGTGCAGCTCGCCTGGACAGCGTGCCGCTGACTGGGACAGACCTATCGGCTCTCTGAGGTTACTCAGGCTTTCTGTTCTTCTTTTCCCAACATGCAAAATGTACATTTTACCATGTAATTCATCCTTCCCAATTCCAAGCATTCACACTAATCTCATCTCCTCACAATATCGCTCTCATTCCGCCTGAGCGGACGGCTCGGGCGACAAAGCCATCAGTGAACAAGCTTTTAACCCAACTGGACAGGGGACCCGTACGATTCAGTGGTGCAAAGTAAATCAATCAGGCACGCTCCGAATGAGACTTTTACATACAAAGACAGATGCTTACAAAATATTTTAGACACGTGCACCTGCTTAAGCTACTGTCAAGTCTAAGCTGAATTAAAATCCCTCATGACACAAAAAAGTGAATATTTACAGAAGTTGGGATGACAAAAAAAAAAGCTGCAGTTTTAATTGTCAAAAGTTATTTTTGTATTTTTTATTTTTTGGTTCAAGGGATGTCAAAAATATAATATGAACAGAGAACTTAAGAAAAATGGAAAAAGGAAATAAAGTTCAATGCAACAGCTGGGTTAAACAAAAAAGTCAAAGGTGGAAAAGAGAAACAAGCTGCACCTACTGGTTATGATAGCTGAGAGGGTCTGGAAGACAAAGTTCGGAAATGTCCATCAGTCCAGTTTTAGCATTCCAGGAATGAGAGGAAGAGGAAAGAGAAAACAACTGAGACCCGCTTCTTCCCCAAATGATAGCACAGCACCCTCAGAGACAACGACGCCGCAAAGAGCCCCTCCGGCACCGCGCTCCCCCCCCCCAGCTGCACAGGTATGTCGGGCTCTGATGAACCGAGAGTGTGTGCGTGAGCATGTGTGTGGCGTGTGTGTGTTTGTGTATATATAAGTGTGCAAGAGAGAGAAGGAGTGTGTGTCTGAGTGTATGTAAGAGAATTTGAGAGTGAGAGAGAGAAAGAGAGGGAGAGGCATAAAGGAGGGGGTAGAAGAGGAGGGACAGATAGACGGAGAGGTAAAAAGGGGAGGTGAGAGACAGAGGAGCGCAGGCAGCAGCGGGATGAACGCTAAGATGGAGAGAGCATGAGAGTGTGAGCAAGAGGAATGACTCTTTCCATGCTCGGGATAGGGCTCTTTAAGACTCAAGGGCTTGATGAATATGGAACAGCTGCTGTTGGCTGGCTCCGAGGGGCAGGACTTAAAGCGACAGAGGGGCCGGCGAAGCTCCGGGGAGGAGGGATCCCAACGATCGCTCGCTCACTCATACAACAACACGGCTCACACGCATGTAGACAAAACACTGAATTGCGTGGGCAACGGAAATGCAACAAAAAGCTCAGTTTTAATCGGAAACATACAAAAAGTCTGAACCTCAAGGCTGTGAACTGCGAGTCAAACACAGATGCAGGTGATTTGAAAAGAGAGAGTGGAAATACTTTCTCATCTTGTTCTTATTTCACAAAAAATTATTTTTATGTGTCCAGATACTTGAAGATTTTTCAGATTTTTGTAGATTCAATACTTCACAGTGACAGTCTTGCACAGATTCACATACCTGGTTCTGATTCTGATTTAAATCAATTTATTTTTTGGGGTACTCTTTCCAAGAATGAAAAACAAAAAAGGGAGAAAATGGGATGCAGGTTTGTTACAACAATCAAATAGTTAAACAACAAAACTGCCTATAGATCAGCTTTTAAATATTACAAAAGAATCTGACTGCTTGGAAGGAAACTATTAGAAGTACAATAAAAAGAAAGATACAAAGTACTGTTGCTGCAGAGGGGACAGTGTCATAAAGAGAGCGAGATCTGTCAAATATTCAAGTCTAATACTGGAAGCCATGTTTGCTGAAGTGTCTATTTCACTTCTAAATAGAAGAATGCTTCAACAAAAATGGAGAAATGCACCAATCAGCCTTTTCCCAAGCAGATACTAATTTCTGGTCTTGTTTGAAGATTATCGTGCTGATTCAGATTTAGCCTTTGTTCCAACTTAACAAATTACTTTTAAAGATAACAAAAAGTTTTTAGGCCTAAGTAAAATATGAAGGCAGGCAGATTAAACACTTCAAAAGACTAAATGACCATCTAAAGTACTTTAAATCCAGATGAAAAGACATCATGAAGCCTGCTGAGAACTTGTAATTAATGTTGTATGTCCAAACTTAGAAGTAAAAAAGACACAAAAAATGTTTTACTTCAACTCTAAATGTAATTGTTTTACAGAAAGAAGCGAACCAGGGTTTTATTAGTCTTTTTGAAGCTAAGTTTCTTTAAAGTCTGAGCAGTTTAGAATTTTATTTGTCTAATGACTATGACACATTGATGAAAAAAATGTTCTGCTGGTTGTTTTATAGAGGAGTATCCCACAGAAAAACATGAGAGCGCAAATATATTCCCACTTTCGCATCAAAGCCTGTTTACAAATTATTTATCAGATTTTTATTCAACATAACAAAAATTGCTTCAAAGTGCATGTTGATCGATGCATTTCTTAACCTCTTTCTCTGATTTCTTTAAATAGATCAAATAAAACATTGAACATCCGCTCACTTGGTGCTTCTCCAAATAAAAAGTCTGTCTGACAAGTCTGACACCAGCTGAAGTTTCTAAAAGGTCCAGAGAAAAGATCACTTTACTTTACCTGCTGCAAGCTCAAGAACAAATCTCAGTAAATGTTTTACTGAACTGTGTGTTTTAGCTGTATTTTTGGGTGTTGCATGTGAGAGAACCATTGTAAAGCTTTCCCCACCTGTGAGAGATGATCTCAGGCCATAAGTCATACTCTTGGAAGCCCGATCGGCCTGCAAAGGAGCGGAAAATCCAGCTCTGTCTACACTAACCCCAGCTTTAGAAGCGCCTGTGTTTCAGTGTTGATCAAGCTCAGTAAGAATGCAGAGAATGCAGATAGCATTTCACAGTCAGCGAGGGTCTCCGTGTTACTGTATCCCCACATTATAGGAACAGAGCTTACCATGGCATCCTGACACTCGACTGAGTCCGGCCAAAGGAAAACAGCACTCTGCCCTCTTCTCGGAAACTCACGAGGTGCCCTGACGGAGCTGCCCAGCTTCTACGGCAAAGGTACGAGAGAGCAAGGAAGAGCCGCTCTCTAGGAGATTCTTGCAAAAAAAAAAAAAAAAAAAAAAAAAAAAAGAAAAAAAAGTGTGTGGCATCGCTCTGCTACTGTTCAGTTTTCTCTGCTGAACAGGAACAGAATAAACCCCCTGGAGGGGAATCCAGTTCCATTCATCGGCTCACGTTTCCATAATCAATGCAAAAACATCACGCAGTCCCTATTGATCATCACAGGCCTACTGATGTGCAGCAGCACTGCCTCCACGTTGACACAGATCATGCAGCAGCTGCTCCCTTTTTGCCACTAAATTAAGGAAATTTCTATTGAGATTCATATGGAGTCAATTTCATTTTCTCAGATTACAAAGTGTATTATAGGTACAGAAAACTCGACATGTTTTTGGGCTTAGTTCTGCAAAAAATGTCTTCAGAATCCAAAAAATCATGGAGAGCAATAATTTTAAAGTAGAATGTTAGGACACCAATATATTTGACAGAGGAGTTTGTTTCTATACAACTTTTACTTTCCTACAGACAGCAAAATTCAGTTACTAAAAATTTTCTGTAGCATTAAATGACTTCATGCTTTCTAAGGCATTAGATCCCTGCTGTGGTTGTCGTTGCTCCCCACATTATATATGTACATATATGCAAAATCATTGCGTGGTAGCTGATTTTACAGCATCGGGTCATACACAAATAAAGAATAACTTAAATTCTGGCATCAAGAAAACATGTCAATATCTAAAATTTTGTTGTTTTCTTTTCTTTGCTGTTTTTCACGTTTTTAATGATTAAGTTTTTTGTCAGCAATTTCCTCTTAGAAATCCCGAAGCATGTTAATCAAGAGTCAGAACTCCCATGATACCAGTCAAAAGGCACAACAACAAATAATATATACTTTGATGCACTGCTCTTAAGTTTAATTTAAAAAACAAGATAAAGGCAGAGAACATGTAGTTTTATGCATAACTGGAGATGATCCTGCATTTCCTTCATTTGCTCTTGAAATAAAACTACTGTACTAATTCCACCCAAGTATCTGCATAACTTTTTTTTCTTTGCTCGTATTTATTGAAGGATCAGCAGAAAGTGTAAGTGAACTACTTGAGGCACCTAAGAAAAAAATCAGTGTAGAAGTTCTATCTCTATTAAGCAACCATAGTGAGCCTCATACCTCATAGCTTGAATGGTATCAACAGAGTAATAATTTATCGCTAATTCAATCATTTCTGCCTCATGAGGTTTTTTGTAAAAGCATGAGCAATGCAAAGCGAGGATAAAAAGTGCTATGGTGGAGTGCTATGGACTAATCACCCTCGCCTTGACTAGAGGGGGGGGTGATAAAATTCTGCTAAGGGCCTCATACAGCTTTGGGTCGGCTCTGTTTGGATGCCTTACAGTACTCAAAAAAGAAAAACCTGAATGAATTAAAAACAGAAATCAATGGAAAGCAGGAATCTGCATCAGCCAGTTATAATTTAAGTGCAACTTTAGTTACTAAACTGATAAATCCCCCCAAAAAAAGATTAACTTCCAGTGAAAAGAACCACTCAGGAATGTTGGCGTAAATGAAGTTATTTGGAATAACAGTAAAGTAAAAATGATTGATTAATAAGAATAGATGAAAAGTTCAAACCTGAACACCTTCTGGAGCTGAGTTTTATTCAACAGAAACACTGAAAAAGCTCGTATTAGAAATAAAGTCGCACCATAATGATTCATATTTTACGCATCTAACAAGTAATTATTCTTGAAGCAAATAGCCATAGACTAAACTGTCAAAATAAATAAAAATAAATAGATATACTGAAGCTTTTGCTCCACACTGAAAAAGTCAAACCGAAAAGATAAATCAGCTACTGTTCCCAGAGGAAAAGTATTGATCTCCACGTCTCAATTGGACCTAAACTGGTGTAAAATGCACGCGAGAAAACATGAAAAAATAAAACAAAGGGGGGAAAAACGTGCCGAATGTGTTATGAATGTGTACCTTACTCGGACAGGTCATGTCCCATCCCCGCCGCGGCTGCAATGAGCACAGGCTGCGCACTGGCTGTGTGAAAGTGGAGTCTTCAGGTGTTGCTGTTGGTAAGGCTCCGTCTGTGCGTCTGAGCGCGCCGTTTAACCGCCGCGCACCGCAAACGCACCGTGAACTCCTCCTCCGGTGCGCGCCCTGCGGCTGAACCAAACACCTCCAAATCCGCGGAGCTCGGGTCAAATGTGGTTCAAGATCAGGGAAAAGTTCTGACGCAAAAGTCTCTATCTTTTCCTGTTTCTTTGATTATTTATTTCATAAATGAAACTTTTTTTTTTCTCCCACCTGCATCGTTCTCTGGCAATGTTCCTATGTGTTTGCAGCTGCTGCTGCACTGTAATTGAGTTAGTTTTCCCTCTTTTTTTTCTCCCTCTGGCCGGGGTTGAGCATCATGTGGTGGGTGGGTTTTCACCTGAGAAAACGGGAGGTGAGAGCAGACAGATCACTGCTGCAGGCAGGCAGGCAGTCGGTCAGTTTCCACAGTTGATGAATAAATAAGAGACCAATTGCAGCGTCGCGTCTGTGCAGCAGAGATCACAGTTACTGTATCAAGTGACAGACTTGTTAGTTTTTGTAAATATATTTTTTTTCAGATAAATATTTACAGGTTAGCCTGGTATTTAGCAGGGGCGTTGCGAGATCTAAACCCAAGCTGGTTCCAAGGTTTCTGTTTTTGGTAAATATTTAATATAAATGTGTATATTACTAAGCCTATCTTTAATATTTTTACTATAGAAGTATGTATGTTAGTAAATGTTAATGATGCTGCCTTTTTTGCAGTGTTCTTCCAAACAATAAGGTGGGACTGGTTGCCTTGCAGTGTCATGGGTAAATCTCCTTCACAAATTGACAGCATATCAGTAGTTCATGGTGTTCAGGCTTTAGTAGAAAATTCTTGTTTCGTTAACATAATAGTGTAATCCTAAAATTTGGATTTAAAAAATTAGAAAAAAAATAAAATGAAATTTTTGGGCAAATAGACGAGAATA